ATATTAAAAATAACTTTAATTTATCAACAATTTAATTAAAAATATGCATATAATATTGACAATAAAAGTAAAGTCAATTATTTAATTTTTTATAAAAATTAAATATAAAAAATAAAATTAATATACTATTAATTTATATCTTAAAATACAAACTAGATACACCAATCTTCAAACTCTGCCACAAGAACAAAGCCTAGGAGCACGGAATCATGATTCACTTATGGAGGAGTTGAGTATCTTAACTACTCCATTTTTTTATTAAATTACTCTACCAAAACATGAAAATAGAAATAGAGATTGGAATCAGCATTGCATTTCACTCCACTCACTTACCAAACGTAGCCAATTTGATTATTAATTATACTCTAACGAATAGTTATCACAAAAGTTGATCCAACCTGCCCTCTTAATAGTCTCCCTATGACGTTTCTACTTTGATGTATGACTCAAAGAATGATGTTTTGTAGTGAAGTTCTAATCAACAAGGATTCAATGAATGGTAATGGTCCATCTTGTTCAGAATAAATAAAGCTAAATTATATAACTATAGAAGGAAGGAATTAACTACTTAGGTGGTTTATAGTATAACTATGTAACTGTAACTTCTCCAAATAACAAAAATTTTATTCATAAAGTTTAAAATAATTGGACTCAATTCTCATAATTATAATCCAATCTTTCATATGATCAAGTTAGGAAAACATATCGGTAAGAGGTTTTAAACTTTTATATTTAGTATTTCACTCAATATTTTCCAAAGTATACTTTAATTTCATGACTATTATTTAACAATTTCTTTTACAGCTTAAGTATTTGAAAGATTGCACAACGTGAGTCATTTAATAAAAGAAACATCTTAAATATAGGCATTAATCTTCATCTAATAATTTTATTTTGTAGTTTAAAGCAATATGAATTGCTAAATATAACATTTGAAAATAAGAATTGTTAGATAAATAGATCTTTTAATCTAATAATTTAAGTTATAAATTGAATTACATAATATATTTTTATCAAATAAATATCATTAAAAAATGCATTTTGGGGAGAAAAAAAATTGGCAACCAAAAAAAAAAAAAAAACCTTGGTACTAAATGACAAGAAAAGCAAAAGTAAGTACTAAAGCGCAGAAACTTTGCTAACTGTAAAGGGCTAA